AGAAAAAACTGCATTCTCATTTTTTTATCTTCTTTATTGACTGGAAGTATTTGTATTATTGGATAAAGAGCAAATGTTAAAGTCGACAGTCTGTATATTACTTCCTGCAAGCAAGGAAAGAAAAAGCTAGATGAGAGCGCCCTCTATTGGAACCTTGAGTTAGGATTATACCTGTGAATAACTGGCCTTCACTTAATGAGGGAAGCAGATCCACAGCTAACAAAAGATTCAGCACATGGAGGGAACAACAGACGTTTATGCACAGGAAAAAATGACAGAAGCAGAAAATAAATCACGATACTGTGAATGTGACAGAGTCGAAGTGAATATTTCAATGAGCTGTCAAAAACAATCTGCCACTCCTGAGAGCTCAACGATGGGTGTGTAGGAATGAATCCTGCGTTCGATATACTGCGGAGGTCTTTACTGACAATGGTCGCTGGGCATGTGCTCGTGCTCTGGGATCCAAGGCGACCTGGCGAAACACTCGGCGGCCTTCCTGTCACACTCGCAGATGAACATCTCACAATTGTTGTTATCCTCTGAGGAAAAGAGAGAGCACGAGGTGGTTAGGAGCTTATTTCTTCGTCTTTAATAACCTCAAACTCTTGTTGTCTTGGTGCACTCACTGCCACAGGTGACCGTCTTGTTTGCTTCCTCACAGCTGTAGGAGTAGACCTTGGTGTAAGGGTTGTCGAGGATGGACCAGCATTCGTCGAGCTGCATGGCGTCACCGTAACAATTGTCGTGCACTTGGCAGCACCTGCAGGTTTGACAACACAAGTGTTCAGAGAGACCGAAAAGACGTTTGTACGTCATCATAGCACTGAGCTGAGAGAGTGAATGAATCACGACCTATCCAGATCGTCCACAGCCGTGCCATTGCCGCCATATCCACAATAGCAGCCGTAGTCAGCGTAGTTCAAAATCGGCTTGCTGCCGGGCATCGTGCACTGGATCATTTTCCTGAACTGGTGTAGCGCCCTGTCGTAGCTAGACACGACTGAAGCACAACAAGGTAAAACGATGAGAATTCTGTTCATGCAGGACAAGAAGGTGCATCAACCGCCAAACATGCAGATGAATCAGAGTCAGAAATACTTTATGTATCCACGAGGCAAATAGGGGGGAAGCTTTTTGTCAAGTTGTACTCACCCACAGCCACGAGAACCAGAGCGTGGAGGGTGTTCATCCTGAGAGTCAGAGCTTCAGCCACAGCTCCAGCTCAAAGTTCAGGCCCTCTTTATATATCGAGCATCGGGCCGTGTGGCCCCACAGCCCTGTCAGTTGTTAATGCTGTATATGGTCGCACGCCTCACAGCGCACGGGCTCCGTGATTCAAACACAAACAAACATGCAAGAACATTTCCCACGCACTTTTTTGTGAAGTCACAGTTCAGCAGCTCAATGACCAAGCAGACTCTATGAACAGGGGTTAGAGAGAGGCTGCAACATCATACAGAGAAATAATTACTCCTAAGAGGTCTGCACTGGATAACATCTATTTTATTTATTCCAACACTGCCGCAAAACAGGACGGGAAGATTATACACCAGTGTGGTTAGCTGTTCTCATCCAGGTTTCAGAGGAAATATGACAGAGAGTAATGCACTAGAATTCCTATGTATTCTACGTAATCATGGATCAGGAGGTTTTTTTAAAATATGAGATATCAGGAGCCACTGTGTGGGTCATCACAAAAACTGCCAGGCCCCGAAATGAGTCGAAACAACTCATCGCCTTCTACAAATTAACTGTTTGAGAGAAGCTGACAACACACAAATGACTCAAGCTCCACATGGATTTGTGCTGTAACAGGGTCTTTATTACATATATCTCTCAAAATGGAAAGTGTTCATGCAACCAGCACGATTCAAAGGCTCAACAACACTTTTAATTTAATGACACTGCAATTTATCTGAATGTCGAGCATCAATATTCTGAGACAACAGCAGAGACAAAAAAAACAAAAAACAAAGAGACCTTTACTGAGAAGATCCTCAGCCTCTATCCTGGCCCGCAATACACGCAGTCGTCTTTTTGTTCACGGCTGTTAAACCCACATATCATCATGTGACAAATATATACATTGATGTTTCAAGTCATAATCTTAGCTTCAAACTCTGTCCTTCAAAAGTCATGACACAAACACAGATCATTAACAACACAAACACGTTGACGACAACACAAACTCCTCAGTAACGCGGCTCTCACACGTGCCAGACCTCAACCTTTGTTTCACTTCGCTCTGAGCTGCGTGTCGTAGAAGTTGAGATAAGTTCAACTTTTTTTTAACCCCAGCCAATCAAGAGCAGGCGCTAGCCAATCACATTAATGCAGAAACATTTTCATTCCTGACGTCAAACATCGAAATGATAGTTGAGAGAGGAGGCGGAGGCAGCAGCTGAAACTGGTGAAGGTTCTTCTGCTTGTGAAATCGATTTCCTGTGACTTCCCTTTAGCATTGCATGGACAGCTAGCATCACATGTTAAAGGCAAGCCACTTTTGTTCCCCCCGAGAAATAAATAAATAAAGAGAACCACTCACAAGTGTTGAAGCAACACGTGTGTGAGTGCTCACTGCTCAGTAACAGTTCCAGTCTGTTACATGATCCTCTTGCGGTTCCCTTTGTCAGTTTTGTGGTTCTTCAAGCCAACGTCCATCACTTGGTCACTGTCAACTATCTTTAAAGATTTGTTTCCAACTATGGCATCTTCTCCATTAACCTTAATTCTTCATCTCAAGCCTCGCTTTGTAGAAACTGGTGTTGCAACTAAATAATGGCAAAAACAAATGACGCCATATTAACTGGTGTGACGATGGACTGTAAATAAAGATGGACGGCATGACACTTCTCCCTAAGTGGCACCAAACTGTCTGGATTACCCCCTGGTGGCTGGCTGCAGTATAGGTCATAAACCGCACCCAGACGATCGAAATGTATGTGTGTACGAATTATTATTATACATTAGAGAAATGTATGAATTATTCATCCGATACATTGTCGTGCCGTTAGTGTACACCAATCTGAACGCTGTACCTGATCAGGGTACATACACTACATTCTACACAAAAATAAATGTTTACTATCGTAGTGCAGTTATATTAAAGTTTAGACCAAGATAAATCAAGATAACACAATAATTAGATCTGGGTTTGGTCTCAACTACGTCGTCTTTGTCCAAACTAGCAATGTGCTCGGACGCTTGACTGAAATGGCAATGGACCACAACACAGCAGCTATATTAAAATAACACCATCAACCGAGGTAAAAAAAAAAATATATATATATACAACTGAATACTTCACAAATAATACAAAAATATCTACTGTGTGCTCTGTGATCATACTAATTCAAACTATTTCAAGATAAACAGGCATAAAGGAAACAGTGGAGAACTACTGCAGTGCATCTTTTAACGTTATAACATTCACATTCTTGATTGTTCCACTATCATAGAGGAAAGACAGCGGCAGCCTCATGAGTCTGAGGTATTTCCATCGCGTCACCCATTCTCCTCGTTATATTTCTGTCTGCTTTTAACATAGACATGTCTTAGTGTGCTACCTCATTGTTAATGCCTCTCTAGGTCTACAGAGCACAGTGACTACAGAGGGCAGTCAGTCAACAAGTAAAGGCAGAGGAAATAATTAACTGAGTGCCATTGATCATCTTCGACATGTGTGTACAACAGCTGGGTATACAGTGAGTGTACAATATATAATCTCCGAGCTGTGTTTAAGATTCAGACGGGATAAAGTATTGTCATCATTAAACTTAACGTTGTGTCTTTAATAAAAATTTGATTTGAAAAATGTTGCTATAGTCCACTTTTAGTTTTTCTCTCTTCTTCAAACCAGAACAAAGATCTACCAGGTGAAACTCAGGACGGACTGATAGGAGCCTGGATTCATGTGTTCTCTCTGTTCCATGGAGCAGGTGGAGCTGATATTTTGCACACTCAGTGTACAGTTAACACACTCGGATAGCAAAGTAAAAACATCTACAATCAGATGGGCTTATATAGTAAGGTGGTGACGTACTTCTTCTTGTAGCGATGTGTCGCACTGAGCACCATCACCCCATCCTGTGAGACGAAAACAATGAAAGAAGAAAACAATGAAATTCATGCTGGCAGTTTAAATGCACAGTGGCACAATGATATCGGGTTTACCATGTGCAGCATAGCGATACATACTGTAATGGACATTTTTAAACTGTTTTACCTGAATATGCTCAGTGAGTTTAGTTAAAGTCTTCTAATTTAGTATTATGCTCTACTAGGAATGTTTGCTTACGAGTTCTACAGAGGGAATGTTTGTGTAGTGTGAACTGTTTGATCAAATGTGTTTGCACGCTTAGGACAGAGAGATCAACGTCCACCTCTTTCACCATGCAGCATGTTGCAGGACAGACGACGTGGCAGAGGACAGCTGTGTGTTTCAAACCTTCTCGTCATAAGAGATATACTTTAGATTCTGGAGCCTGTGGTGGCTTTAAGAACTCTGTCCCTATTTGGCCGAATAGTAACTCTCTAACCTTGTACGTGTTTAACATTCTCTGTGTAATTTTGCTTCTCGATCAGTATTAACTGCCTTGAAACTCGGTTGAGCGTTGATTTGATCATTCAGCGTTCCAGGGGATTAAAAGCAAATTCCCACCACAGAGATTAGTGGGAGTGCCGCCCACTAACTCAACGACCTGCTCTGCTCACTAATCTCCATCAACAGTCAGGAAATGAGATGTCTGCTACCACTGTGTTACTGTTCTGACGTTCATAGTAAGAGACTTGATTGTTTTTGCTGTGGTGTCACACTATCACCTCCCTGCAGCTCGTCAATGAAACAGGCAGGGAAACACAAAGTGGAAATTTTATTATGAAACGCAATTTGGTGACTTTGGAAGCCAGTTGCTTTAGTTTGAACCGAGACAACCACAGCAGCAGATGAACCTATTATGGGATTCCCCCCTGCTGTCTATATTTATTTATAACTTAGTTTGTTTATCCCGTGTCAAATTGTTGGAATCATCTGTCCTTGAGCTCCCCTGACAGGAGTTTGTTATTATCACACGTTACTCTATTGAAATGATATTAAATAAAAAGTTTTCCAACATTTCAGCAGCTGAATCATTGTTCTTGTGTGATTCGGTCACATTGGGCTCTTACCTTAATGGACAGAGCATAGAGGTGGTTGAGCATGACATGGTTGGGCTCTGGGAGTAAAGCAGGATCACACTGAAAAGGAAATGTGAAAAGAAAAACGTAAAAAAATACATTATTCCAAAACAGGGATGATTTATCCTTAAATTTCTTCTCTGTCTCATTTTAACTTTTTATCGGGCACTTGCAGTTTAATTTCACTTTAAAAAACAAAACAAAAACCTAACTGCATCACAGCCACTTACAGAAATCCCAGTGTCTTTGTTGAGGATGACCTGTAGTAGGTGCGGAGGGAGAATGGGCGGAGACTTGAACTTCTCTTCCTGTTTCGGAATATAGGCGTCCTGATGATATGGCCCGGGAGGGGAGCTGGAGAGGTCTGATTGAGGAATGGAAGGAGAGTAAAGAAAGGGCGATATGGTTTAACTGAAACAGGAAACGAATTGTTTTACAACATCCACACAGAAACTGACATCTCTGCGTTAGTTCACACAATAAAACTAATTCCAAAGTTTAGATTTCTGACTGGATTTATATTTTATGATGTTTACTTGCAGCCCAAATATAAGAATACACAGAGCCGGTTTTGTACAGTTTTCCACACCCATTTCATCAACCTGTACTCTGCATCAGTGGGTCTAGCCGCTGTCAGCACTCACCTGACATGTCAGAACATTTCTGCGAGTCCACCATCAGAGCGTCAAACACCTCAAAGTCGGTTTTCTTCACCTGGATGATGTTGTTGACTGTGCCGAGCTGGCTGGTTACAACCGGCTGTGAGGAAACAACAGATTCACAAATGAAGCTCAAAAGCATCCAGAAGACAAAAAAACAATTCAATGTGCAAGATATCAAATTGTCCACAAACGTGCCAAGTTTACATGATGTGTGGCATTTTTTACATTTGATTTGAAAGTATTTCCTTGCAGCAAAGAGATTCTCATTGTCTTTATCAAAACTGGATCATAGGCCTCACTCAGATCATTGGTTGCAGTCAAAATTAAAACCCATAATCTCCAAAATGCAACTTTCAACCAAGCAAACACTACTTTAACACATTTATTTACACATGTTGATGGTAAAAGTTAAAGGACATTAAAGACGGAATGTCCAGCTCACATAAAGAAAGCGTCTATATGAAATGTAGCGGGGAAATCCCAGCTGCAACATGGTCTCTAGTTGGATATTGACAGATAGAAGCTTGTTTTTAAAAACCAGTGTATGATAATGAGTATAATCACTGACCTCAGTTGGGTCGTGGGTCCACTGACCATCTACATAAAACTTGTACTGATGCTCCCCCTCAGGCAGATCGACAATGGCCACAAAGGTGTTTTGACTTTGATAGAAGACAGGGGAGAACATTTGGTAAAGAGGTGAGTGGACAGAGTGACTTCTCTTTGAATCTTCATCCTCATTAATAAAATGTTTTCCCTCTGATTAAGTAAATTGAATTTTAATAATAATAATGGAACGTTCTAACAATGGTATTCATAAAACATCAGCTGTTCAATGGATGACACTCAAAGCAATGCTCTTTGATTGTTTGCTAGCTTCAATGAGAAATGGTAAACCATATCGTTTCAAACATCTATAAATGAGGGTTACAAGAGTTCGAGTTATACCCTCACCTTCTAATAAGTGGTATCTTGTTGGCCCAGTTGTTAAAGGACCCAGAGAGAAAGACCTCTTTGCCATCTCCAGTCCAGCGAAAGACTGTTGGTCTGTCTAAAGTTGGACCTTTGTCTTCTGCTTCTAAGTCTTGCTGCCACGCAAGAAACTCCTCTTTCTCTAAAGGAGCCTGAAATATCAATCACAAAACCACCATTAAGGCCGGTTTATACTTTCGCCATCAGTGCAGATCCTACACCGCAGCCTACGCAAGTTGTGTACACCTTTGTGAGCTGCTCAGCAATCACAAAATCAAAATGCTGGTCACTGGTGTTGATTTCAAACAACCGAAACAGAAAGTGAATGGATCGTGTTCGAGTTGAAGCAGCTTGAACTACTTGAGCTACTTTTTTCTTCTTCTTGTGTGGCCACTGATGCAGTGTGGACGTGCCAACCAATAGCAATTGTTATGGTGAAGCACGAACTGGCCTTTCGCCATTTGTTCATTTACAATACGTAAACATAGGTTTGAGATTCCTCAAGCACCAAACGATCATGTCAGCAGCAGAAAATGTGTGTCTGATACACCAGCATGACCTACCTTCATATCTTCACCATGAAAAATATCTGCATCTTCAGGGCTGTCCATCAGGATTTTGGGCCTCTCGCCCTCCTTCGCACCTCTGCTGTCCCTCCGCTGAGCCTTCTCTCCCTGGCCCATCGCCGCCCTCTCACTGCTCGTATTACCCATGGCTTTGTCTTCTTGTAGGCCGATGCAAGGTCACTGCGAATAGGAGTTTTAAAAGCCGACAAACTCAGACTGGGGAAGATGTGAGATTTTTTTTTTTTTTTGAATAACGTCATTAATCATTGACTGTCAGCGCTGGAACGCCTGCAACATGAGTTGCTTTTAAAGACATCACTCAAACGAGAAAGAACACTTTTAGACCTTAGGCAATAAAGTAGTTTATAATGAGCGCAGGAGAACAATGAGCTAGCTCGCATGTGTTGCCTTAAAGACTACAAGCAGCAATGTGTCAGAATCCTTTGGAGATGTTTGATAGACATGTACTGACTTCATGGGGAAATACAAACTGTAATACAATGCTGTATTTATCTGATAGAAAGATATCTGCAGTGTTTAATCATATTGATTAGTTATGCTGAAATAATCTATTTACAATTACAATTTATCTCTTTAAAAGGCCAATGTTTGGTGGGGGTCCATGCACCCTATAATAAATAATTTATTTGCTGAAACTAGAAACCTTCCTAACATAGGAAATGTATTATAATCAACGGATATATCGGATTTCATTCATTGACTTGTCTGCAATGCTGCTGCTGCAGAATAGCAATGACCTTAGCATTTATAACAATGGATTATCTATTGCAAGGAGGTTTCTCAATGCAAATGCAGTTGCATACCAGTGTGAAATGAACTGAAACCAATAGGCAGCCATACTCTGACTGCTACTCGAGGTGGCATTGAAAACTTCAACCAAAGAAATCTGGCTTCCTCGTCACGTTGCATCCTGCTGATTGTTATTTCTCTTATATTCACTTTCCTGTCAAAGCACTTTGTAAACTCTGTTTTTAAAAAGTTCTATATAAACAAAGTTTATTATCATCATCTTATCTGTCATTCTCCTGTAAACGTGTGATCTTTAATTCCACATCCTACTTTAAATCATATGTGTAATTTAACATTATTTGTCATTTACCAGGGCGGTGCTTCTACTACATTAACACCACAGCTGTTAAATAACAAGGTTAAGAAGTCGTGATGTACTATTGCCTGAAATGAGAGTGGTTGTTATAAAACAAATACAATGCAGCATGTTTGGAAGTTATCCTGCGGTGCTAATGTGGTGTCAGCTGATGTTAGCCACATGCAGGATGCTACCCCGCTAGAAAGCTAACGGACATTAGCTCTGCTGAAAACCTGACGAATGAGAAATGAACTCAAAGTGAAACCACAGCTGGATTCGTCTGAACGACAACAACTGCATCACATGAAGTTCAGCTTCAGCGGCAACGTTAGCTGCAAGGGACGCTAACGTTAGCTAGCAGCTAGCAATCGGTCCTCCGGGCTAACACAGAGCTAGCCCAGCTAGCTGCTGAGGGACAGCCATTAAAGAATAAAAGACAGAGACTGTAAACGCAGACAGAGGTCCGGTGAGGTTTTGTTTTGTTCTTACCTGAGCAGAGATTAGCCTGGTAGCTTTCTGTGTTAGCTCCTCGACGCCATTTTCACCGGAATACAAAAACAAAACATTTGGTTCCGTCACACAAAAACAAACCGGGCCCCTCCTCCTGATGCGCATGCGCAGTCGATTAAAAAAAAATAATAATAATAATAATAAGAGCCAGGCCTCAAAAACAGCTGGATATAAAAATACTGCAGTAATCCTGCAGTATTTAATGAGTACAGACCCACTGAGTATCACACAGACGTTTAGTTCACTGCAGTATTTTTCTGATCTCAGTCATATTTTTAAATCTGCAGCACGTAACGGATGTAATTGTAAGTAGTCAACACTAGATGGAAGCCTGGGTCAAGTGCTATGACAATGTGCAGACGGAAAATCAAGCAGGTGAATCGTAGTTTCCAATGTATGTTTATTCCCAGTGTGACATTCTTACGTGCATGTACGATAAACTTACTACAGCACCTTTCGAAAAACACTTACAAAGTCGCTTCGCAAGTTAGAAACAAGAGCTATAAGAGGTAGAGACCTTAAAATTCAACAGTTCCCACGATGAGCGAGCACTTTGGCGACTGTGGAGAGAAAAAGCTCACCCTCATTAACTGGAAGAAACCTCGAGCAGAACCAGACTGAGTGTGGGCGGCCATCTGCCTCGGAGAATGAGAGAGAGAGACCGGTAACAGTACCTGCACTTTGAACAAGCTGCAAACAAATTATTAAGTTTTGACTAAGACATGCACGAACGTGCAGGATGAAACAAGATGAATCATTGTAAACTGATTCTAGAAAACATTCGGTAAGAGCCTAGACACAAAAATATGTCTTTTCAGTCGACCATCTCCTCAGGGAGTTTGCTCCGCAGAGTGAGAGCCCTGACAGAAAAGGCCCGATCAGCCTCCGTGTGAGATCATGCAACAATTCAACCCGATAGTCCGACGGCTCCGCGCTCCATCACCTGTGGTCTCAGTTGCCCCGAGCAGTGCTGCTGTGCCCCCTGTCAATACGTGCAGCTGTTGTTTTTTAATGTGGACCAGCTGGCAAAGAGCAGGTGTAATAAACAACTTGAACGGTGGCTCGGTTCCCATTCGGCTTCATCAATTAGACACACGAATGCTGTACATCAAAATGCACAATGTTAGGGCTCTGCAATCAAGCCTGCCTCCTCCATGTTAGCAGATGGGACACGGGCCAAGCTAAAATATACAAAGTGCGATTTAAATAATTTTTAATAGACATTTTCTGTCATTTCCTTTCCTTCTTACACTGATGTTTGTTCAAGTGTTCATGTTTCTGATGAGCTTGGTTTTAATTTGTTATTTGGTGCCATAGAAATGGGGGGAAACGTCATGATTGACAGCCGAGACTGAGTCACCATTGGTCCACCGGGCACAAGATGGCAGCCTCTGTATTGCAGATATCATCAATTTTTTAATACAATTTAAAATGTCTCTTAATGTTATTTTGTTATTGCTCTGATTTGTTTAAAGCCATTTCTTTCATCTGAACATTTAAACCCATTCTCTTTGCCATCATCATCGCCTTAATTAGCTGCTCTGACAATAGCGAGAAGGAGCTCATTTTAGTAGTTCTGTAGTCTTTAGTCTCTTACCTCATGCGGTGTAGTACAGCTTTGTAATGAGCTGCATCAAAACTTTTAAGGGTTAGAGTTGTTTTCATCTGGTTGTCGTCCCCTCACCACTGTCCCCTAACTACGGCAGCTCTCGCTTCCTCAAACCTCGACAGAGATTTAAGATAAATAATGACGTTCACCCACAAACAACACTCAAACATCCTCCAGACACAGGGAGCAGAACATGCTCAGGGCTTCGGCACATAATGAGGAGCCAAGTAAAAAAAAAAAAGGGATCCAGCAGTGATGTTTTCAGTCCACGGTATTTAGGCTTTTCATTGTTGATGAATAATAAGACTTATATGAAAGCACGATGATATTTCAACAAATGAGCTAAAACACAACACGTTAGAGGACTTTCTTGGAACTAGACTGTTGTAATTGGCTCATGTCGGCCGAGGAGACTGAGTGGGCTCCAAGGAAAACGTTGGCCTGGCTGGTGGAGGTGGGATGTGATGTGTTGTTTCTTCTTTCATGTGGAGGTGGATCTAAAAATGGATTGGATGGGGAGGGAGTTCAGATGGTATGGCACGTTGTTAGTTTTGATGTGTGGAAAATCAAATGGCAGTGAGTGAGGACCCAGACGGTGGTGGGTAAACCTGGATGTTGGAACATTTAACGACTTCTCAAATCCTTTTTGTACATTAGCATAATTATACATTTTATTTAAAGACCACTTTGCACAATCCAGATCGTAAATTGCTTCTCAGGACAGTGAATGAAATGAACCATGACCCATATCGCATCCTTCCACCAGCTTTCGAGATATATCGTCCAGTAGTTTTTGCATAATCCAACAAACAAACAAAAAATTGCAGACAAAAATATAATCTCCTTTGCAGAGGTAATAAAAGAAAGTTCAAATAAAAGCAGCCTCTCTGATGAAAGTACATCTCAAGAGGGTAAAATGCAAAGTCATCTGACCTGAATTCCTCAGGCAGATCATTTCATTCACTGTGATTGGACCTCCAACCTCCCTTCATATAAAACTTACGTGACTGAAGCAAATGCTTATTGAGAATTAAAACTCACTGAACTGAAGACATTGACTTTTTCTCTTCATAAGATTTACAACTTGAAAGCCAGCTTTGATAGAAAATCTATCTAAAGTCAAAAGGCCTAAATCTGAAAATCTCAAACTGGGATCTCTCTCTGTCTCTCTGTCTCTCTGTCTCTCTCTCTCTCTCTCATTAGAAATCCTGTGTTGGCTCACAAACCTGCTGATGAACTCTGCGATGTGACTGATGTGCTGACATTTTACCGTGGCAGTGTTCTGGCACCGCTTCCCCAGAGCCATGACCCCTCTGCCGCTCTTATTTACCGTTACTCCTCCCTGCTGAGTGAAGCCGTCGCACCTCAGCCAGCCACTGGGCCCTGATACGCTCTCTGCAGGAGCAGCCGCATAACCTTTATACTCAACTGCTCTGGGTGACGCACGGGGAGGTGATGGTGACTCACAAACTCTTGCCTGGTACTTTTCAGGTATTAAATTGGACTTGGATTAATTTGTAAAATATCTAAGATCGGACGTTAGGGCGTCTCTCAATGAAAACAATAACAGAAGACTTAGCTGCTCATGTTTCACTGGGATCCACACTTGTGACCAGAAGAAGGAAAACAAACAGCTAACTGGCTAACGTTTTTTCTTTGTCCTACATAGTAGAAATAATAATAATACATATGTGGTTTTAGTAATTTTAATAGGAATTGTTGCGTATCCTATTCTTATGGGATAAGTTGAAAACAATAATGCATCAATGAATCCAAAAATAATTCTGTGTATATGTCTAGAAAGTCAAACAAACAGACCAGCCATCATTTGACACTGTCTGTCCACACTGGCAGATTTGTCCCTTTGTTTAAGAGGAGAAGAAAAGATAATATCTCCTGGTGCAAAGACATTTTTTTTTGCTGCATGTGCTCAATATTTGTTCAGTCAACCAGAACATGTAGGAACACTGTATATTTATCCATTACAATGCTCTGTCACGGCAGAGGAAGCCGGGAACACAGAGGCTTACAGGTGTAGGTGATGGATAACCACAGGATGGAAGGCAGCAGGCCTGGGGTGAAGAGCGGAGGAAGGCTGGTATAGAATGTGACACGCACTTTCTAATTTATTTATAGACTTCTTCTGCTTTTATGACCCATCGCAGTGTAAATTTGTACAAAAAGGAGTTATAAAAAGAAAGAGATGAAGGAAAACTGAGACATTTTTATGCCATTCACTGCTTTCACCGTTTTCATAAAAGCCAGAGACGTCTTTAATCACACTGGCAAGCCTGTTGTTTTTTGAGTGTTTCAACCCTGTAACGTGTACTAAGCCTTAGTTTGAGAGGGAGAAAAGAATCACAGGGCTTAAAACAATCTCTCTAATTAGCCCTAATCGTCTGTGAGGCTGTTTGGGAGGGAGCGACAACCTTTCGATTCCATTCAGCGCTCAAGTTTCACATTTGACTCTGCGCTTAATGTGGTAATTAGCCTGGTCAAGAACATCATCATCGAATCTGTTGCGAAACAATTATATAAAATCCTCAGATAAAGAATTTCTCTCCCACACACTCTCGTTCTTTGTGTACTTTGATATTCTCTTTCTTTTCAGGCAGATAAAAATGCAAAACAAAGGGTTTTACTCGTCTATGTTCCGTCTCTTTCTTCCCGTTTCATATTTTAAAGTTTCAGCTTGGAGGCAAAGAACCATTGGTACCGGACTTTCTGCCCAACCCCTTGGTGAGAAGGTGACCTCTTGATAATATAGGAGACTGTCAGGTGAGAGATCTAGTGTCCACGAGGCTTCAAGAACCCAGGTTGCGTCCTCTTGATAAGACACTCGGCTCCTATCTGCTCCATAATTACCACTTTGCACGCTCCCTGTGCTGCGACCCTCTTGACATTCATAACGTGTATTAGAGACTGCGTGGGTGAGGTTGTCAAGGAGAGCTCTTTGCACTGTGTGGAATCTATTTATGCCACGCGATGTTTTGGAAGCCATTGTAAAGGGCAATCAAGTTGAGGGAGCAGGCTGAAGTTAAACAGGTGTATAAAGCCCTGTAGTCTTTATATGCGTGTCACAATGATGTCAAATGAGGCTGATTTATCTCTTGCATAGTTAAAAAGCTAATTTCCAGCCGGTGAGAGTTTATTTCGTCCGGTTCACTTGCAAAATAGAGCAAATGATCAAGTTGTTGAAAAAGCTGTCCTCAACTGACTTTATAAAATTCACTGAACACAAAAAAGTCTTAAATATATGGGCACACATGCTAAGCTAAAAGACTGAAGCCAAATAGCTGATTTAATTAACATTAACAAAGGATATTTAGCTCTGAGTGATTTTTCATTCATCCATTATCGATTTCATCTTGTCCAAATATAATTCTCTACAAATCACTGGATTGAATATAGTCTAGATTATTTTATATAGCGTGCATCAACTGTGCTTTTAATTATTGTTATCACCTATTAAAATGTTTGATCGTGAAGAAAAACAAGGACAAAAAGACACAAACCCAAGTTTGAAGAAGGAGAGTAAATGCCATGCATTTATTTCAGCACTGTGACAAATCCCTCAGACCATCAACACTCATGTCACCACCGTTTTGTATTCACTGTAAAAGGACCTGGCATCAAACCTCCTTTAAAGGCATAAACACAACATGAGCTCTATTCAATATATTTCTAGTGATTCTAGGGGCATTTTCATGTGCATTTAAATGGTCGTATATCTTGCAACATTATAGATTTCCCACCACGCCTTAAATACGAAGTTTAAATACTGCGTCTGCATATTAACAAAAGACAAACGTTTGCACCGGATCTCCCCGTTTTCTTTCCGCCTTTCAATACGTGATCGTGTCAAACACTAGTCCGACTGCATCTCATTCCCAACTGTGCAAATAACGACACCATAGAACAGGATAGCGGATGTTCCCACTTTGCCAAAGTTCAGCTCGGAGAGAGCAACAGGACAGAAAGTACTATAAGTATGACAGTATATATATATACACATGTTGTTTACTCGTCTTGTTCCCATTCTTTTTCACATGTCAGGAGAACACAGACTCTTGGATGAAAATGGGGGGAAAACAGAGGATACACCAGAGGATACAGGAATAAATATGTCATTTTAATGGATAATAATAATTTATAGCAGTTCTGATATATGTATGCGGGTAGCTATCATTCCTGGTTGGTACACGTGCTGATAATCGCAGCCGCAGGTTAAATCTACTCCCAGAAGTGAATCCATTTGTCAAACAGTGCCAGTAATGAATTTGCATGTGCCTCTGTGTTGCGTGATTAACAGTTGTGATGGTGAATAACTCGATCCCATCACAGTAGCATGGAGTTATTATTAGGCCCTGATGAGGCCCACAGGATTGGATACTTGAGAGAGGAACAGCCTGTCAAATTAATGTACCTGCATGGAGAGCTTTGTTATCAGCGTGATGGCCGTGGAGTGCTGCAGTAATTATCGTTTTAAAAGAAGAGTGTGAGCAGCCTGAGAGCTCGTCTGATTGTGTGTGGAGCTTCAGAAATATCGCTGACTAACTGACGGACTAGTCGTGAGTGTCTCTCTCTCTCTCTCTCTCGTGTGTGTTGTTTTTTTTTGGGAAGCCGTCAGGTTTTAGAATTGGAAACCCGTGACAGCTGTCACTCGTGTCGTCGGTGTGTGTAGTCAGTGTTTGTGGATTGAGGTGACGCTGAAGAGGAGAGGTTCTGTCAACGACTGGATGTGCTGTCTCTCTCCAGTTGCCTTCCTCATGTCATCGTCTTCCTCCGCTCATCTGTAGACTGCAGGGTACAGCCTCGATCTCTCACCCCCTCCCTCTCGCTCTCTGCTCGGGTGCCGTGGAGCGTCCTGGACTATAGAGGCAGATGGATGTGCATGGCAGAGCTATTGGGGCGTGCAGCCAAAATGTAGATGGCGCTCTCCTTTAAAAAGTCTGCCCAGGTCACCGGCCTGTTAAAGAGAGGTTTTCACTGAGTCAGAAATTTTATTATTTATCCATCTATTATTTGTGATCCACTTTGTTCTGAGACGTGTGATATAAATAAAGTTTTACAGAGGTTTGTACTCAATGTCATTTAATTATTATTATATAATCCAATCATACTATTTATTTCTTGGCCGTACACAAAATTTTAATTCTGACCCTCATATCTGGGTCCTCAGTGTCGTGATCCCCACATTCAATATGCACATGTGCAGGCACGTTCCCCTGCAGCTTCTTCCACCAACAGCACACGACAATAATCGTGCAGTAAAAAAATCATTTGATAATTTCATCTTCAGTATCCGGACTCTGTGCTGCTGTAATTTGCCTGATGGCCCTCTGAAAATTCAGTTTGTTTGTCAGTTCTCTGTGTGACCACGTTCTGCAGAGTACCAACCCACCCAGTACGACTCTCTTGCGGAGCTCGTTGTAAATCTGGCTGCTCTCAAGAAGTGCTGCTGCATTAGCTCTGATTATTTCAAAATGTAAAAATTGGGGCAGGAAGAAAATCTCTTAAAATACCAAACCGGGAATTATCTCTAAAGCCTGACGACGTTTATGAAGTGAGTTGGAGGTCGTTCGGAGGAACAACGAGGAAGGTCACTGTCGACCCGGCTGCACTTCAGGGTCAAATTGTTTCTCCGTCCGCCGCTGCCCATGACACCTGCCGTGTTGCTGCCAACACGCTGTCTTTGCTCAGAGGGGACGACAATGGGCTCCATATGTAGGCTAGTGTGGGCTGCCTCTGTCGCGCAGATTTGACCTCATCAAGGAGTCTGCAGGCTTGTGAAAGAGAAAGAGAGCTTCGTCCGACTGATATTTACAGACACTAAAAATAAAAAAGGACCAACCTGCCATCACCAGTCTTGCTCCTCTCGCTGCCAGAGCTGCCTGGACTGCTCTCACACATGGGGCCCACTTGACTGATACTGCACCAACGGACAAGGGACAGACACAGACAGAGGAGGTGACGGTCAGCTGGAACGACGAGTCAGTGAACGACAGGACATCATTCCACCAAAACCATTTTTATTTATATAAAAATAATGAAACTCAACTGATTAAAAACTCCATCAGTAGTTGGTCTGTAGTGTACGAAACGTCTCACCGTGTCGTGAAACACAGAAAAGCCTGTTTGATGGTTTTACATGAATCATTGATGATGTCAGTGGTAATAATCAATCAGTCAATCACCTCATCACTACTCAGCCTTCAAAGGAGAGCGAGAGATTTGTGAATCAGCTGAAGTTTATTTGTTTCTTCGTCGGAGTGAATCAGGCTGCATTTCATGTGTCGGGCTGATTCACGGACTCACAACCTCTCGTCCTCTCCCTCTGATAAATGAGGCTTTTAGAAGAGACGCCGCTCTCGAGGAGAATGGAAGGCTTTACTTTGATCCGCTTAATTAGAGGCCGGTATAACGAGAGCTTATAATAATAATATAAAGAACTCGCAATATGCTTCAGTTCAGGGATACGTGTGTGTAATTGCTGTTATGACGTTGTGACGCCCCCCTCTCTCTCTTCTTCTCTGTTCTTTTCATACAAATGCCAGCTGCGTGGAGGGGCTGGTCTGAGAATACTTGCAGCGTGTTGAGGGTGTTGAAGTGAGGAAAAGACGACAAGCCGTGCAGTGCCGAGTCACACTCACCCACAATTCATAGGAGAGCAGAGTCCCATGAGTCTGTGGGGAGTGCCACGTGTTGGACAGGTGAGAGGGATGGAATGGCACAGCACAGGAGATTGATTCGACAGCACAAGAGGTTAGCAGCAGAAACAAGCACATGCACACACATAGAGTACACACACCTCAGTGGTGAGCGGTACACTCGTGACAGTACAAGCCTGAGGTACTTGTACTGTAACGTATTTCACATGAACAGTAGCACGTGGTCGTGTTTGTGGGTCCATTAGCTGCGGCCAATTCAAATCGCAGGAACTTCACTTGATCTCAGCTGAACGAAGCATGAGTCAGCCTCAAGAGTTCCGAGGAAAAATAAAAACTTTCATTCATGTAATGCGTAATAATTTATAGCGATAATACTACAGCAAGAGCATCAAGCTGACAGGCAGCTAAGTGCCTGCTAACGGCTTGAGTGGCAGCACAGAATACATTACTGAATGAAGCACATTACTGTAGTGCTTTTAATATGAAGGGAGCAGCTAGCAAGGTTGGGTTTTAAAAGTTTTGCAGTGAGACTAATGATCATTTAAATATAACTGACCTGCATTTTTACCGCTCATCACATCTTTTTTTGCATCAGTGGTGCACTTGCATGAAGCATTTTTCGTTATCCAAGAACCAATCAGAGACAAATTATCTCCCAGTCTTGCTCCAGGGTGCATCGGCGTCATCGTATATTTTCAAGGTGAGATTAAAATCTAGACGCTGCACAACCTTGGTAAAACTTTTATCCAGAGCAGCAGATGTCTGAAGGGTCACGAGGTTTTTCTATCTGGCGAACTGGCCAGAGGACGTGTTAAATGATGAATGCAGCGCAAAATCTCAGGGAGAGCAGCATCGCCACATAAAATATCTAGGCTGAAAACATTGTTCACTGGATTTTTTTTTTTTTCATCAGCTTGGAAGCAAACAGTGACAATGCGCTGATTATGTAATCTGCAGACGACCTCTATTTTCTTTCAATTCTTGTGCTAACATGCATCATCAAATTAAATGCATCGCATTCTATTTCAGTTATATGACGATGACACTTTAAAATCAGGCAATGTAGAAGACAGAGACACATATAGAAATCACAGGATGCTTTTGTGAGAATGCCAAACAAACAATCGCATGAATTATTAACCTGCGTCATGAATAATTAATTTAGTTTCCTGGACGTGTTTTGAAATACAGAAATAGAACCGGAATGAAACGGATCTGAAAATGTAATCAAACAAATCCAACCTGAAGATGCTCTTATAAAATGTAATCTGACACTGTGGGCTCTACTTGAAAAAACACAATTAGTATTTAATTATAAACCAGAATTATCGTTAGCATCGAACTCAAGCTGCACCAATTTAGACATAATTAAATCTGCAGCATGAATAAAAAGATGTAAATTTAACGTGAAGTGGTTTAATGAATTCAAACAGTTGCCATGTCAGCGTTTTCATCTTGTCTCGACATGTCGGACAAGTGAAGCGTTGTGTCATCTGCAAAGTTAACACCGTTATTGTCTATAAGCATCCAAACTTTCTCTAGCGCTAAAGTTAGCCTAGATCCTGATTCCCCAAACTCCTGTCAGACTTGTTCCATCAGCGTGTGCTTCTGGGAAAAATAACTGATTGGATGTACGGACTCTCACCTCACGTTGCACGACTGCGAGTCCTTGTTGGGATTGTGGAACCAGGACGACTGGGCCTGGCGACACTCTGCTCTTGTGATCAAGCCGTCCTTATCCAGATCCAGACCCAGGAACACAGACCGTGCTTTGTCCCTCTCCTTGGCAGTCAACAGGCGCATCATCGAGTTCTTTTTGAAATAAAAAAAAAAGTGTGTCAAAGTAGGTGGCACTCGTAATAACTCCATTCCCCTTTTCATGCTTTTGATTGCTGTAATGTGATTTAGGGGCCTGGTGAAAGGTATTTTGAGGGATTTATTATTCTCAATCACATTAGCACTGTCTGATATAATCTGCAAACACTGATTTACCCCCGTGTGAACCCAGAGTCACAAACAATCTAAAATTTGAATGTTATCTCCCACGCCAAACACAAAGAACAATATTCAAATTGTGATGTGGAGATAAAGTGAGTAATTCAGACGGGTGGACGCTCAGGAGTCATTCCTTTATATATATATTATATATATAGTCAAGTGCCAGTGGTTCCGTCGTCATTATAACTTGTTCTTTTATTCTGTTATACTCCACCTCTGTGCGAAACTTCCTCAACATGGCCAGAGACTCAAAGTAGAGGAAGTCCGACCACTCAATGTGACCCTTCTTCTCGGGATCCAGCGACGCGAACTGGGCCAGGACCTCCTCCTCCTGCTCGTCCGTCAGGTCCTTATCAAACTGCTGCTTGGACACAAAGTGGCGGTACTGCAGCAGCTCATCTGACACCAGGCACGACTCTGCGGCACCAAGGAACATCACATCAGACCTCATTATCCAGCGACCAGTCTTCCAGATATAATTAACTTATGGGGACTCATTTCTTACAAAGGCGAGGAAACCTCCCGCTGCTTGCCCTCCATCCGGGCCCCTTCGTGGGAATTTCTCAACAAATACATGTTTATATCTAATATCCATGAACCAGGTGAACTTTGTGTCCATGCGGTCACAAATATTCCTTTACATTATATCTGAAAGTTGTTTCGTGTGAGCAGAACCTCCGTGTGTATCTGATCTCAATGTGCAACCTGGTGATAAAGCGGCCAGTCAGCCTTTGTGGAGGAAAACGCTCTGTGTTCTAGTTTTTATTTGTCTTTTTCATATTGTCGCTATCTATGTGAGTACAACTGTTGGACATATTGGCATCTGATCCCATGTGTGGGCACAGTCGAAATAACAGCTAATCCAAATAAAAACCTGTGGAACAGACAACAAACATCAGACGTGGCTGGAAAAAAAACAATCAAGACATTTCCCCCTGATCACGTTCACGTCACCCTTATAGTTTCCAAAATGTTTAATAGCGTGGACAGGGTCACCAACGCTCGTTAGCTGCACTTACCCTGGATTTTGTGACTCACCTGGGATGATCTTGCACTGCTTGAACGTCTCCATGAGGCTGTACATCTCTTCCTCTGTCAGGAGAAGATTCAGATTATCCTGCAGGGTGAGATGAGGAGATGTTTAATAAGAGAGTGCGCTCTAATTATATGGACTTATCCCCAGATTGACCTCCTGCGATGAGGCCTCGGGTGTACGAGGTATTGAAATGATCTATTTCATCAACTACACCGTTTCCCAGGTGATTCTCGTGAGATGCTCTTCCATCTCGGCGTCGCTTCATTACTGAACCATTAGTGAAAGAAAGCCAGAAACAAAAAGAAGAATTCACTTATTTTCTTGACATTTACATATTTTTTCATGTGATGAAAATGTAATCAAATGAATGTATTTGCTCATTTAAAACAAACAAAACACTGATCACTTGGATATTAAAATGTTATGCAGTTAGAAAAAGATAAAATCGTGCATTTAAATCACAGTTTGGGGAAATTACACATCCGTCCATGTATCACACGTTTCTTGTCTGCAGAAATCCGCAGGCAAGGAAACTCATAGGAGACGCTGATATGAATATTTATACCGGTAAATTGTTTGTATATCATTTATTAGATAAGCGGAATGATGAAACTTTAATAGTCCCTTCGGGGATTATTGGAAGAAGTCAATTCCAGCTTGTTTACCTTGCTCTTTAACCCTGTAACCATCTGTCGGGGCTTTGTAAAAGCCACATTATGAAATCTAAATGAAAACGCACAAACCGCCCACCCTTCAAAAACAAACAAACAAACAGACAAACAAACAAACAAGACTCCCTTCAGCTCAGGAAACTCACAAACCTGTCGCCTTGCTGCCTCACTGCCTGAGGCGCCCGCAGATCAACAGTGTGTGGATTTAATGAGTGTTTATCATCTTATCATGTGGGTGGTTCAGGTTAACTTCAAATTCTCATATTGTATCTGAAATTTTATGACGCATTAATATTTTAGTGGTTTAAAGTATTGATAAACATCTTAATATAGTTTTATTTCTCCTTTCAAATGTCTGCAGACATAAAACGTTTTCTGACAGACGACTACTGCTCGGTTGAAACTCGCCAGACAATGCAAGTGCCACGGTCCGGCAACAGGTGATACCGACTAAGACGGGACAGGTAATCAATGAAAACAGGATAATTAATGAATTCAAAAGTCCACATCATAATGAAAAGTCCTCAAAAAGGTCCAACACAAATCAAAAGTTGTTTTGTACGACAGACGCCAATAACAATGTGTGAAATACGTCCGGTTTGGTATTTTACAATACGTCCGGTGTCTGATATATTTATTAGTACAAAACAAATTCATCCAATATGTGCAATAAATTGTCTTTTCACATCTTATTCATATATTTTTTTCCAGTGCAATTTCATTCAGTTGCATAAACACATGGCACTCTATATCTGCAATATAATATTGTTGAACTGTCGTCGGTCTGAATCTGACTGCAGCTGACTGCAAATCATTTCGTCTAATTACCCTCCGTGAATAAATTGGAACTAAAAGTGGAGGAAAAAGATTTTTCCTCCGTTCCGCAGATGCTGTGATGTATTATTCATAAACAAGCCTCTACTTAAACGTCACATAGCATCATGAAAAACAAAAGTAATGAGTGAGTGAACAACACGACTTCACTTCCATCAGAGATGGCTCAGAATTGGCAGATTGGCTTCAGCTGCAGGTGAAATGAAATGTTTTTCTCTCGAGAAGTTCGGATGATACATTGAGATTTACTCACGTTTTTTCCACCCACGATAACAAAGATATACATTTTCCCAAGCCATGTGGGTGGTAGAGAAATAATTTGTTGCATCTCCCTTTTTCTCTGTCATTACATTTATTACTCTTCTCAATGTGCTGCCGAAGAAAATCCCCACACAAAGCACCGACTTATCTGTGAGGGAGATGTCAAGAGCAAAACAAGATCAGGCTGTCATCTCTAGTCTGCTTTGTTGCCACGTCCATCAAGTGACACAATAAACCCATGGCCATCTGCTGTGGCTGCAGTAATGCAATCACATAATATCTAAAAACATCAAAACACAACTTGTGGCTTTAAAGGTGATTTAAAAAGGTTTGTGCGACGCCTTCTGACAGCATCTGGAACGTAAGCTCTCGAGGGAAGAAGGTATAAAAAGAACAACTTTCTAATTTTATTCTGGGAACATAAATAAGTTGAGACCAGAAAAAGTGACAGCGATGGTTGTATGTTCTAACAGTTTTTAAAAAAACCTCTGATTGGGCTCAGTGTCACAGCAGGAAGTTAAAGAAACGTATTCTTATTGATTCCAAAGCTGCACGGATCAACATTTAGGAATCAGATGACAACAGATGGAGGCGACATATAATCACTGGGTTGTCGTTAAAATAAGAAGAGTGAGACTTTCCCCTCACGTCTGCAGAGCTTCTCAATCACTGTTACTTTTTTTTTTAAGCTTCTCTGAAACATCTTGCAGCTTAAGCTGAAAGGAGAATGAATAAAATGAATGCTTCTTCTTGCACAGTGTCATTTACACATCAAGAAACGTTCTCCCGAAACGTACAGTGAGCGCCTCGTAGCGAGCATCAAAAAGACGTCAGCGCTGCAAAGAAGGGTCACTCATGTACTCGTGAACCCGTCCGCGCTCTGATTGGCCGCCACTGAGCCACGCGTGCAGCAGTCTGCTTTGAAGGTTGGCTGTTAATCCACTTTCAAGGAAATCGAGCCTGCAGCAGCAGCAGCGCTGATGTGAACTTGGACGTTAGATACGACAGAGGGAAGCAGAGGACGACCGGCGCACAGAGCAAAGACTCCGAATGTAGTGTGGATATCAAATGTCTACATTTCACACACTGCAGGGATGTAAACACAGGGAATAACGGTGCAGACGTCTCAGCGCATGTTGGGGTTTCCTCAGAGCAGAGTGAGGGCTGCAGCTACTGGTTCAGACATATATATATAGGCTCCTCTTACAGGTGCAGCTCATCAGTCATCAGGAGCTTGATGAGACACACGTGAACTCAATCAGCAAAGGCTTCATCACCACGAGCTCAACAGCAAACATCTAACTGGTGCAGAGAGATAATATCAACAGTCACAGAAAAACATGTCGGATGCAATTCTTCATTTAAGCCATTAGGGCGCATGTTTTTCAAGTCATTGCCACAGAATGTCTGTTCAGCCAGAAAACACGTTTGACATGTTTCTTTTAGCGGAACGTTAGATTTTAACATCCAGGCTTCGACCTCCTCACTTCCCCAGATATGATGACTTAGATATAGTGTGGTAACCCCCGTGTCGGAGCCTCCGGGTGGATGAAAGGGTTGAATCTAGAGGCAGTGACACAGCAAAGGGAGGGATGGGAAATCTTTGCAGGTTAAAAAGACTGTCAAAGTGGGAGGGTGTGAATTATAGAGGATTGTGGAGAGTGAGGCAGGTTACGTGATTAGAGCAGCGCAGCTTGAGGTGAGTGCATGAAATAGTTTGTCTCCTCATTTTTGAGCTGCATTCTCTGATCGCAAAAAGGTTAATACCAGCTCTGAAAACGAAAACAAGAGAATAACATGGAGAACTGATAACATGCAGCTCCAGAAACGTTCTCCTCCATCTTGCATGCATCGAACGTTCTGTCCAATGTGAAGGACGGGAGCGTTGTAACATCTGACTGACGTGCACCGACAGAGCTGCTGGTTTCTGGAGCTGCAGGGACGAGAATTCGCAATTTGAATAAAACATTTCTCCCTCTTTCCCTTCGGTGAATTGTCTCCGCCCACGTCCCTCTCGCACTGAAGGAGCCAGCCAAAGAAAGAAGACCTTTCAGTGTCCTTTCACAGACTGTGTGAAAACTTCTCCCTCTGAGCTCAACGTTTGGCAAATGATTCTGCTTCTCGGGGCAGGACGAAAGAAAACAAAGCCCCTTCTCCACTCTTAAGGGTCCTCCAGGAAAAAAAAAAACCTCTTCAGCTGCTAATGCTAGAATTAAAGCAGACCTCAGTATTCCTCTCCCGTCATCGGTCTTGAATTCCTGATTGAGAAGCTGGTTTTTCTTGTATTGCTTTACAACCACTGAAAACCAAACAATGTGTTTGAATTCCAGCAAAAGTAGTTTCACAGTTAAAAGGTTAAAGTATTATAGTTGCAGTGCAAAACTAATGACAGAGGCCAGCAACAAAAGAAGTGCATAATAACACAATTCATCATTTATAATGGGCAATGTAATGTTGCTGCCTCTAGACTACGATACACAACTTTCCACTAAAGACAACGTGCCACGTATCCTCATCACACCGGTGGTCCACATCTATTAATTCTTATATATTCAAAAATATTTTGAAAGAAGTTCACTGTGAAAGCCAACGGTTTTTTATTTTACATAATTAAAACTGTACTAATAAGTTGTTAGTCAATGATATTAGTTCTATCTGTGCTTTTCTTGCTTTGACAAGTCAAAATGTCTCCTGTGCAAAAAAAGAGACTGGTTGCATGCCAGTGTTTGCGAATCTAAACTTGGCCAAGGATGTTTTTCAGGAAGGAGACACGTCAACTGTGATGATGTAAAATCGCAGCTTGGCAGCGGTTGATTCAGTTTTGATTCAGCAACAAATTTGGCCCCAAGCCTTTGCTCCCTCCGGAGGTTTAAAACCCAGCCACGAATGTTCCCGGCGAGGAAGTCATCTCGTTGTAATGAATAAGAAACAAAACGGTGACGAATGAATCGCAAATGTCTTGGCTGAAAAAACACAAAACCCAAAATCGCTGAAAATAATCATTGATGAATCCCAGGCCAGCGGACCAGATGTTAAAACTGAAACGTGGTGTTTGTGTGTGTGCGTGCACGTGGAATTGCAATAGCAAGAACTGTGTGTTGTCTCGTGTGCAGACTTACACAATAGTAGCAGCTCCAGCCGGTAACCGTGTGGGCTGTGTCTCTCATCTCCTGCAACGCCTCGGCGCGCAGGTAGCCCAACTCCCTCAGGCAGCCGTCGTGAAACACCCTCGTGCAGACCCTGCAGGGGTACAGGTCGTCGGCCGTCCACACCTCGCACACGTCACACATCTCGTCTCTTGGCGGCTGGGGACAAGAACAGGAGGTTTTTTTTTTATCGCATTGCGTCGCCTGTATGGAGATTTTAGACGACGCTGCCTCATCGTCAGTCTTTGTCTTTTATTTCTGCGACTCAGCAGCATCAGGGTCAGAGACACAAGTGAGAGCTTGTCAAAAGTTCTGCAGTTCTGGCTCACCTCCTGTGACCCGATGACTCAGTTTACGTCAACACGCATCCTGCATCAAAGGTCCTGTCAAAATGTCTCTCTGGGCTTCCAGCAGGGGCCAGAACTCGAGGAGAAATTCATCCCTCAACTTTTAAGAAGCAGTTCTTCATCCAAAAAACATCCGCAGTGACCCTACGGGCTCCGTTTCTCTCACAGTCATGAAAATGTTTCTGGGCTTAAACTTCGTTGAGTTCAGAGAAAATCTGATCGGTTCTCGGACCAAAGGAAAAGGGCAAAGGGTCAATTAAATCCAGAGATCTTGTGCTGACATTTCAATGACATTTTGGCCTCGTTATGAGGAATAAAGTTCTCAAGACAACCTTTTGAAAAATGAAACTCAGAATAATGAGACTACTTTTTTTTTTTTGCATCCAACACACTAATTTATGACTTGGGCCAGATTTTGTAAAGCTGCATGCAAGATAAAGTTGAAATACTAAGAAATAATATGAAAACATAATACGTTTTTTAAATCTGTGGAAGGAACCAGACAAACAATCTGCAAAAAACTGAATGGATATTCAATCGATCAAATCTGTGGCGATACCAATTCTACATCTGACTGAAAGTCATCAGCAGATCATGGATATTGCAAATTGAGGAACCGACAGTTTTGATTTCCAAAGAAGGAAAACCAATTCTAACACCGCAAAACAAACCCACTCAACAAAAGCATGAGCCCGACAAGTCCCATAATATTGCTTTACTCATTGGGGGCAAGCAAGGCCACGGATGACATATCTTCCGGCAGATATCCTCTTTTGAAAATTCTGATGTACACATCTATAAATATTTGCAAAGCAGACACCTATTTCTGCCCCTCTTGTTAAAGTGCAGCATCGGCAGTACGCGGCGAGCTGCCACGCAGTGTTCACTCTTTGCAAAATAGAAATCCGGATGGGCGTCAACGCTCCTGTGAACTCCATCCCGTTAGTCAGCGCCATCGCCCAGGATAGGGTCATCGCTCTGAGCCAGCCAGAGCAGCCTGCCCACAGGGCGCTCGCTGTGAAGAGCCCTCCTGCACAACAACAACACATCCATCTCACTGCTGGTGTGGAAAACAACTTGAAACTCGTACTTTCTCACCTTCAACAAGGGTGTTTAGATAAAGCCTAACTGTGCCTGTGCAGCGTGGACGAATTGCCTTATCCTAATGCCTAACTCCGGGGAGGAGGAGAGGACGGAGATAATGCACTGCTGTTGCCACGGAGATCTGGCTGACATCTCGTTAATCCCAGGACTCGGGGATTTGAAGTGTGCTGTGAGGCTAAAATGAGTTTTCATACAGTATCTTGCTGATTCAAAGACATACTGTATACCAAGCTCTATTTAGGACATCATGTAATACCTGCTCTTTCTTTTCCAGCTCCACCTCCACCGGCTGGTCGTCGTCCGATTCCCTTTTGGGCCGCACGAACGCCGGCGGTGTGAGCTGATGGGACTTGTCAAGATCCTCAGGCTCCACCCCCTTCCCGTCCCGTAACCTCGACCACGCCTCGTTGTTGACCTTGCAGTCGTCCCTTGTTGCAACCGAGGCCTGCTGGGAGGTGGACGGAGCCGCGCCATTGTCCGTTTCCTCCTTCTCTGCCTCCTCCGCGTTCTTCGCATCAGGGTTGGCTGAAGTTCTGACGGGCCCGTCTCCTTCCTCCTCGTCTCCCTCCGTCTGGTCGGCCCCGGGGGTGGCACGGTCCTTGATGCCGGCCTGGAAGGCAGAGACGACGGCGTTGCATTTCTGCACCTTCTCCACCTGCTGCTTCTTTGACATGAGCACGCCCATGGCTGCAGACGGACAGAGACAAGAAAGAGCCGTTACACTAGTATATTGATTTACATCGTGCAGATTACTCGAACCAAGAACCTTCTTCTACATGTCAGCAGTTAGAGAACTCATAATAAGCAAACAAGTGAAGCAAGTAGCTTTGTGAAAGGGTCGCAAGGCGGAATCGAACCCACGGCTGCTACAGATGCCCTGTTATTATCGGTGTAGTCAAGTAGATTACACGTTGGTTTGAAGTCAGCAGCTCAGTCAAAATAAGAAAAAAACACTGAGGAAGTAAAACCATGTTTGAAAAAGACAACGGAACAATGTCCTGTGGTGGAAACTTGAAACTCTGAGTCAAGGGAATTGAATATGAGCTGACAGAGGAACAATATCAATCATGATTTTATGAGAGTACAACAAGGAAACTGTGAGAACTTTCCCGCAGTCAAACACACTGACGAGATCATCACCCTATGAAAATATTTACTCTCCTCGCGCATCAGATCTCTCTGTTCGTGAGCGTCCTTATGTTTGCCGAGCTCCGTCTGTCCAAATCTCCCACATCTCAGCAGCAACGTCCCTGAACTCGACTCCTTATCACAGTAAACTCTGCCCATCTGCTGCCACATTTCTCTGACTCACTTCTTGTTGTGCAATCTTTCCCCCGAATGGATGTTTTCCGGTGCAAATTCAGAAAGAAGGTCCGACCAGTCGTTTGTATTTTTATTTAAATGGACGATACATCTACAGACGCCCAAAAGGTCAAATTACTGCACACTCGCAAAAGCCTGTAATTAATATCCTACAGGGCAGTAATCCAATAATTCAGAACAAAATTAAAGGGCTTGTTCACACAAAACACGTTGACTTACTCATCCTGATGGTTTATAACCATTCAGATGTTACGAGGTTTATGTACAGATTTTGAAAAATCATGTCTATCCATCATCACCAATCATCCTAAACCCTAATCTGCCTCACCCTGCTGACACGGGGAGAACATGCAAACATTTACAGAGGCAGCAAAACGCGAAACCCCGGGCACGGCCGCTGTTTATGATTCAGCGTCATGCACCGTGTCATGTGTCACACACACAAATGCTTCTGGGAATTTAGATTTTAATGCTGTGTGAAGGTCGCGCTCTTCGACCTGCGGGCCGGCAGGAAACATCATGTGTTTTCTGTTCGCTAAATTAACGTCCATTATTATTTCAGCAGGTCAGATGCTCGGAGCACAAGTGAGACGTGTGATATTTATTTTAATGGCCCCACATTGGAATTCGTACACAGCATCAATCAGCACAACTTGCTGAGGTCATGCAAATCTGAGATTGTGCCTCGTTTGTTCAGCAAATGAAATGACTGAGGATCATGTAAGATCAACTTTACCAGAGGAGAAAATCCACTTTTAATCAGTTTTTGACAACATCAATGTAATTCCATCTCATTATATTATCGTTTGTGATTGATTATTGTAATAAACATGATAAATATAAACCAAACATGATCAAAATGAGACATGATGACGGCAAAATCGTAACTTTTAATGGTTCAAAAGATGACTTTTCTTTGCTAACTAACAAAAGTGCTAACTCCTGCATTTTTAAAGGATTGCAATTACATAACTCCTAAACACCTGAAGTGAAACATACCTTAATGTACTACATTTCTGCAAAAAGGCATAAACAGACTTAGTTCCCATTTCCACTTCAGTGAGATACAACAGTGAACTCCATTATTGGGGGGGGGGGTGGAGGCGCCGGCGTGGATTCAAGTTGATTACGTGGTACTTATGGGACATGTGTCTTTGCTCTGAAATGCAATCCCATCCATCCACGCCCGGCGTAAGTGCCTGCGTGAAATTCAATCAGTTTATTTCACGTGAAATGGGAGTCATTCGCCCGCTCTTCCTCCCGGGCTCTCTCTAATAACCCACCAGGCCTTCTGTTCCCAGGCTGCTGGTGGACTCATGCTTCATGGACTGCAGACGATACAACATTCATTTGCATCATGCGCGATTCAACCCGGGCCGTGCACCGTCTGGTTTCATGCATTTAAACCATCCAAGGATGAAAAAATACTACACGTCCCCTAAGTTCACACAAAACCACATTTTCTTTATCCCTCTGTTCCAGTTTTAGGAGCAAAGGAGGAAGAGAACAGTGATACTTCATTGATTACGGCATTGAATATCTATTTTACACTGAGAGGTTGAAAGGTCAAATCAGATGAAGCACGGGACTCCTGCATTTCATGTGAAGTGTTCCATCTCGATGTGTGTTTTTGATGCATTGTTTTGTTAAACAGGACAAAAAGGGAATGGAACTGGTGCTCGGGTCGGACAAAAACTACAATATGGTGTAATGATGGAGAGGAAATGGAATCAGTTAATGGTCTGGGAGATAAAACCTTGACATACTTATCACAATCTTATTTTCTCAAAGAGCAATCCAACAAAAGTTCAGTATGTTTTTATCCATATAATGATGATGAATTGTGCATCTTCAAGTTCAGATTTCTGAAATGTTCAGAGGCAAAAGTCTCAAAGAAATATTTTGGCATTTATCACGTTAACTATCAGTATATAGACACATATAACATGAATGGCCTAATCCCTCAGCCTTATTAGAAAACAAGACATGAACTTGAAAAGTCATTAAACCCTGTGACCAAGCTTTGCTCTGTGGAATAGACCGAGCGTCTTCTTCAAGGGGAAAGACTTCATTTGTGAAGGTCACTCTTTCAAGGAGCAACGCCCTCCTGCAGCCTGATGAATGACAGCAACACGCTGAGAATGTACAACGACTGTGATGCTCAAATGTACGCTCATCCAAGACTGTGGTGGACTGTTATCCGAACTGCTGGAATGACAATCAGCTCAGTGGGTTTTCTTTTAGCGCAAATGAGCTCAGGCTGAGGTTTTGTGTGCCGTTAGTTTGATGCAGGAATAACTGATGGTGTTGTTCTGCGTCTCAAACCTTCGTCTACCTCTACAAACATATTCCAAGCACAGGTCATTTTAATATGTGTATTATAAACGTCCGAACATGTCGTTCGGCAGGTTTCAACCAAACGTAGCACATGATTCCAGGACTTAGTTCATCAGGATAAACAGGTGGTGGCGCTAAAGGAGAGGATGCGACAAGAGTTTAACGAGTGCTAGTCAAACCTCAAACTGTGGAAACGAACAATTTAACGAAATATACAGCTGCGTTAATGTCGGTCTGGTGTTTTTATCTGAGGAAGGTTACGTCTCCTTCGCTGCTTCTCTCCGTCTGCTGCTGTTTCTCATCTCTTCAGTGGATCTCTTCGCCTTGTGTATTCAAAGGACATCATGAGTTATATGTCCAGAATGCAGGTTGTTGCATAGAATCTGCAACGTATCGTAAAGAGGAAGTTAATGCGCAGTGTAATTATTGCCTATGGGGAGTGTTCTTGCAGAGTTCATGCGCCGTGGTGTCCTTTTTTTAACTTGACAGTTTCGTGGCGGATGATTTGACGAGGCTGTAACGCTTGTCTGAGGACAGAAGGACAAACAGGTGATGAGCAGGGCCAGTTTGGTCTTTTAAGATGCAGAATGCAGGGCGTCCTCTGAGCCGTGATGGCGACTCGCTGCAATGCCTCATGTCAGCTAAAATAAAAACCCTCAACTCTCAACCTAATGAGAGCTGCCCCCGACCCTCCTCCTGTCCTCATCCTCTTCAGAGCACATCCTGTCCTTTAAAAACCTAAATCACTGGCTCTTAAACTCCGAGCCCCCCAGTGGGCTGCAAGAAAACTCTGAACATGTTTAACAAGATAAGCAGGAACAGGAAAAAGTGACTCTGGGAAAGGAGAAATCTTTATATCTCCTGACGCATGAAACATTTGAAGGTACCCACACTCGTCATTGATGAGGAATATGCACTGACTGGCTGTATAAACCTGAAAAGCTGGGAGCTAAACTAGTGAGGGAAGACGAGGGCCTTAATACAGCCTGCACACCTGATGTGTGGAAAGTTAATGTTAGCCTAACTGTCCGCATGCATCTGCAAACTAGCTTGCTTGTTCAGCAAGTATTTAAAATTAAGCTTCCTTTAAATTTACGGGGAGAGATGGTCTCGTCTCCAGACTTTGCGTTCTGCACACTCTGCAGTTTGAGGTTATGTATTTGGAAAGACTGTGATTAAAAGTGATATTGTGGAGCCATACATTCAGATATATCGCCTGGATGGAAATAAACTGGAAGTGCTCATGTTGGCTCACACACGTAACAGGAGCTTGGATACGATTCAAACCTCTTGAATATGTAAAAAATCTTCTTAGCAGAATCCTCGCAAACGGCTCATACACGGACAGTTAAGTGGCGACGGCGTAATCACAATATACAGGCTGGTACTCTGATTATTATGGGGACTTAATTATCAGCTGAAGTGACCTTCCCACTCTGGCGAGGAGCAGCGCTGTGGCTCAAACAGCGACAGCCCGGAGATGCCAGAAATGCCTGCGAGGATCGGTTTCCCTGCTCGAGCCCAAGGCCGAAAAGAAATGCACGCTTAAAGGCAAATTTTCACACCATGGTTTGCTGACATGTTGGTGAAATGCCGCCACCACAGCCGGATCCTCAATTACCGAGCGGTGCAGATAATGGGCCGTGCCATTTCAAATGAGGTTGTCCACGATAAAGAAATTGTTATTTAATGGCCACCAAAGTGCGAAGGCTTCATAAGCTGTATATAGCAATAAACTAAGTGATATTACAAGCCCCAAGGTCTGTGTGCACTCTGTGAAATCAGTGCCAGCGGTAAATAGCATGCAGAGAATTTCAATATCCTTTGAAAGTCAAACACTAAAACAAAATATATAGAGGGCAAGAAAAATAAACGATTCGCCGTTTACCTTCATTATTAATAAATTCCATGCCCCGACTCATTCCTCACATTAATTCAGCTGCTGGTATAATGGAAATCCACACCCGTGTGTGTAACTGTACATCGTGTGATACCGGAGGGGAAATGAAGACAGGACGCTGCAAGTGCACGCACCTCTTCCAAACAGAGCCGGGAACGAAGCCACAGCTGATAGGAGAAAAAATATCCGAGCGCACCGAAGACCTTGTCATTTCCAGGTTAACTTATGAATTTTCAATGAGGGCTGTTTCTTTCCCTCCCTACCTCTCTCCCTCTCTCTCGCTCTCTCTCTCGCCCCGTGTACAAGTCAGTTCTGACACAAATGGGTCAGCGTGCGGCTCTGATACCTTTATTAGATAGATAGATAAATGCCGCCCCGCCAGTCTGAGATCCTACCGCTTCGTTCCCCCCCGTTCTGACTGACGGCAACTTTTAAGAGCAGCTCCCCGCCGGCGTGCACGTCAGGCCCACAGGAGAGTCGGGAGATGTTTGCATCCCTGACGGATAAGAGAAAGAAATGAGTGGTTTCTGAAGAGGACGCATAAAAACGTGTCAATCACACCGTTTCCTACAACTTGGCTCTTGCGAGCTTTCGCAGCTGCAGAGATTATTTCTATCTGTTTGTTGTGCTCGGCCGGTTAATTGCTGTGTTTGAGGAGAACAGTGATGATCCAAATTGTCTCAGTCGCCCTCTGGTGGCTGGCTGCAGTATAGTACAAACACCCCACCTCCTCCATGTTAGTAGATCGGACATGGGACATTTTTCATCAAATTTTTCTTTTTACAGGTCTGGTTGTAATCGGCTATTTGATGCTATAAAAAAGTGAAACATCGGGTCCAAATGATGTCACCAATGCAAGATGGCAGCATTCGTATCCAAGATATTTTGGCCTCATTTGTGTTTGTCTGAATTCTGTGTCGTGCATCATTTTATAGAGTCTCTGGTGCAAAGTTTGGGAATTTGGGACTCTGCAGCTAATGCTAGAGACATTTTGGTTTCTCGAAGTAGCTGCAGAGTGAGCGCTCTTTGCCTTCATGCTGCTCTCTGGGGTTAAATCATTCTACGCCGTCTCGTTAAAGAAGAAAATCTCGTTCCAGAATCTGGATTTTGAATAAACTAAAAAAATTCTTTGAGCGTTTTAGATAATGTACCTGAAACATTGGCTTTTTTACAACCTCTTGGATCGAGATCATGTTTAAGTTATCCTGCTTCTTCTCTGCTGAGCACAGAGCCATCACGCCCAACGGCCAAATCTATCACAAATCAAACACCAGTTATGATAAATGGCAAATCTTCTCTCGAGTGCCGGCCGTGGCGCCGCTCAGGCTCAGCAGTCACCCGAATTCACCCTTCTTATTACGTTTGAGGCCGATGCAGGCAGAGGAGGGCGGGATGAAGCTCCCTCAGGCTCCACATTCACTGGACTCCTGCAAGGGCATCTGGCTCCGCTGCTCTCTCTCTCTCTCTCTCTCTCTCCCCGATCCTCCTGAATGATTTAAATGCCCCTGGATAAAAAAAGATCTCGACGCAGGGAGAGAAAACAGGGCAGACCTGGGGAAATGTTATGATGTCAATCTGCACAGCAGTGGAACAGTTTCAGGATGGCAAGATAAATCAGATATCCACTCAACTGTACTGTATGTCTTATGAGACGGGGTCTCGGCTTAGTCTTTATTCATCCGTATTCCAGAGAGACAACAGCTGTCTTTTGGAGGAGAATTGAATCAGTCAGTTTGTAAAGTATCAGAGAACCAGGGGAAACAAACTTTTTTCAAAAAAAAGCTAAGAGAAAGATTTGAGGAAGAAAATTCATTCAGGCTCTCGATTCATTTCAGGAGTTGAGTCATCAAGCTTTTGAATGACGATGCTCTCAGGGGCATCTGGGTTTATTTATTTATACTGAGGATTTCAGGGGGAGGTGGCGCCGGGCCGCTCTTCGAAATCCTCGTCCATTGAACCAGACCATGTCAGGGCAAAACTTCAGCTCACAACAACAAGCAAAGCAGCGGACTGGCGATCCATCCTCTTCTCTTATGAAACGCTTGATTGCACATGACGTGTTTCTTTGCAGGACGTCGTGCATCAAATGCAGACAGTTGAAGAAAAAGATGAAAGCACACTTGAATCTGTTCTTGCAACATCGACCCGGAGACAAGGAGCCGAGCACATAAATCTTTGCTTCGTCCGCAGGCTGCAGTGTATTAGAGGCCATCAGGGACACCTTAAGGTCTGTATTAGTATTCAGTCCTCCGCTGCTTAAGTGTCGCTGCGAGGAAGTTATTGAGATCTACCGAAGCTCGTATAACAGCAATTTATCAGCCTAATAAAAAAATCTCCACCACTACGAGGGAATATCTGAGGTAATGCTCAACTACAGTCAGTTCAACTGTTGAAATGGTTTATTATTTACTTTAGAAATGTCTGTTCAGGTGCCGCTGAGGATGTTACATGAAGGTCACAGCCAATACAGGGCAGAGCTGTACACTAAATATATATATATATATTATATTTATTAGCAAATTGATAAAAAAAGATATCTGCAGTTATGGGTTTAACACGGCTCATAGTATTTCAAAACATCTTGGACCTTGCGGGGCCAACGATTTAAACCGGTTGGGTCGTCTGTACGTCATGACGCTCATTTTGGTCGAGCCCCGCCTCCCAGCACTGCGTTCTAAAAGGCATTTCACTAATTTCCAGGGAGGCCAAAAGTTAGGGGCAGAGTAACACTTGAATTCAATGTGTAATCCACATTCTTAAACGATGTTGCCAGCAAACACAATCCAGATTCCCATTTAAAAGGCCAGACCGGCTTTTCTCAGTGGATTTCTAATCATCTTTAGTCACGCCACACTCGCACTTCAGTGGTTCGCAGTTTTTTGGCTTGTGACCCCTTAAAAATTTATCAATTTCCCGGACATTAGTCACAGGTTACAGCCTCAGCGTGGATGTGCACCATTAGCAGATCAACCAAAGACTGATCCTTACCACTCAGCTCAGGTTGTTTCATTTCAGCAGCTCGGAAACGTATTCACAGCCAAAAAATACGATTGGAGATGTTGAAATAAAAGTGTTAACTTCTTTCAAACATCACGTGGCACCTAAAATTAATCTCAGGTCACATTTTTAAGATCCCGATCCCCAGTTTTTGGAAAAGCATCACCAACAAATTCAATCTTAAGTTTTGGCTTCTTCTCTTGTAATCGACAAATCAGACCATTTTCCATCTGCACTCGTTCAACACTGATGTAACATAAAAGCACAAATATCCTACGAGCTGCTGCTTTGCTCTCGTGTCATGTCGGACTGTACGATTCTCCTCCCGGAGCTGTTGGGTGTCACTGGTATGTGCTGATTAGAATCCCAACCAGCCCGTCTTTTCATTCCTCGTTCCAGTGGAGGGAATGGGACGGGACAAGGGGGGAGTGTTTGAATGGAGGCACCACAAAGCATGTCTTTTCATGAGAGCGAACCCCACCAACACCACCACCCCCACCACCACCCCCCACCCCCAGTTTAGCCAAAGATCTCACCCACGGACCAGGGAAGCAGGGACCTGGAACTAATTACACTAACGAGTTCACCCAGATCCCTGTGAGTGAGTGGAATGATTATCAACCAGTTAAAGCACGCAGATGTACGTGCACCCGGACACACAGGGCTAAATAAATTGAATCACAGAGATTAAGGAGGGTTCTCTTGCTGCCCATTGCCCGACACTGAACAGATTTCTCGTGGCCTCTGTAAGAAGGGGAAGAAACACAGCTCTCACTCTGGTATTTCACTGCCTCGTCTCCCATCCTTGTGCTTAAGTATCCGAGCAAAGCATTCTGCACAAACAGCACAATGATGGGGTTTGAAATTCAACTTGTGAATGGAACAAGCTGGAGGGGGAGGGGGGGGCGGCGGACAAAAGCACCTGAATGGAGGAGGAATTGAAATGTAGACTGGAGACATCACGTTGGCATTCGGTGCCAGACAAGCGCTCTCTCTCTCTTTCTCTCTCTGAGAGACTGACAACGAGGCGAAGCAGCTCAGGGGTTCTGTCACAGAACAAGAGGCAGGACTCAATCCAAGGTTATCACCCAAAACTGGCTCCGGTTTTATGGACCTGGAGGACGACAGCAGCGGGGTTGTAAACACAGACTGATGGAGAGCTTAGCAGCACTCCCCTGTGGGTCACTGCTGGGAAGAAGTGGACATCTGGAGACAGAGCAAAACTACAGCGTGTCTGCAGAGAGCAGCATCAACTCACAATCCCGCAGCCGTGCCTGGAATCCCTCACTGATACAACTCACAGAGAGCAAACAGCAGCCTGGTGCTTTAACAGCTCAGTGACGCACATGTGCATGTACAGCCCCAGAACTCCCCAAATTGGGTTTTCGCTGCACATCCCCTGGCACCGTTGTGAAACAGAGCGAGCAGAGAGTTTGATATGAAGCATCCACACCCATGTGCACGCTGTGACCTAAATATGCTCCTCCACACAAGCTGCTGCAAATGAGGCGAATCCACCTACACACGAGTCCCATCACTGTCCCAGGTTTCCAACATTCAAATCCTGTCAGTGGCTGAGCATCATCTCAGTTTGTTATGTAACACCCAGAGGAGCCACATATGTAGATGTACACATAAAGGACCTACCGTAAAAAAAAGGTACAGGCTGTTCACCGCGACTTATTGGGGACTTTATCCTTCCTGTCTCAAGCCCGGCTGTGCAGCATGGCACGGCTCGGAATGAAGAGTGTGCGCCCCGCAGAGGGATGAATGGCACCGCAGTTTTTTTTTATTCCTTCCCCCTCCGCACGGTCCCGCGGAGATCACGCACAGGAGCCGCGGACAGCTCCGGTGCTGAAGTCTTGTTTCTTCTCTTCCCTTCCCCGAGCTACTCCCTCAGCAGGAGGAGAAACAGAAGGAGGAGGAGGAGGAAGAGGAGGAGACGATGTCGGTGCGACCGCTGAAGTTAAATGAGGGATTTATGACAAACATATCTGCGTCCACTAACACTCCCCCCACCCCCCCTCCCTCCTCCACGAGAGCCCCCGTGCGTGACAGGAAGTCGTGGTCGTGCGGGTTAATTTAACTTGTGCGCTCCCGCAGCCTCTGGACCTGGTGCGTGAGTCTGCGATTGGTCCCGCACCGCCAAGGACCCCGCAGGACCCCAAATAATGACGTTAGATGAGAGCAGCCAATTATTGCGCATGGAAATTTGGATGCGTAATAAAGGGGCTCATTGGGAGAATGGGGGGGGGGGGTTTACTGAAGAGCTGTGGCTGCACACTCCTGATTGAATGTGCTGCTGTGTTGTTGAGACTAGTCCTTGACTAATGTGAAAATCTCTTATGAAAGCCCTCAGTGCAATAAGCAAATCAATTGGCTGCATGAGTTTTAATAACAGCTTATGTTGTCGAGTGTTTCCACTTTAATTTGGAAAGTGGAAAAAATCTCCAAGCATCCTGCTGATTAAGAATGATGAGGAGAGTTGCTTTGAGTCCAGGCCGAGCAATCAATAGCCTACTTCTGCTAATTGCAGCTATTTTATACATCATGAAGGTGCCAGCGTCGACACTCACCACCGGTAAACACATTTAATATTATTCTGATATGTTTGTTGGAATCCATAGAGAACTCGTGGTGAAATATCAAAATTTGCCATCTTCAATAAAAACTAATAATTAGTCATCGTCAACATATCGAGGCTTTCCTGACCAAGTCTGTGGTGGGTGTGATCCACCTGCTGGAGAAACAAATAAAAGTGCGAAAACGTGTAATGTCCCGTAGCCAGTAGGTGGCGCTATAACTTAAACTGAATATGGGCACGTTGGTGTTTTCATCTCTCATCAAATATTCAACGTGTGGGGAAGATTGGACAATTTGTACCCGAGTTACAATAACGTCTGAGACACGTGCTGCCACGGACACGCTATTAGATTTCCACAACCGCAACAATGCCTACTGCCAGTAGGTGGCGCTATGTCTGCAAGAGCCTTTGAGTTCCACGTCGAAATGTGGCCGATGACTTTAAGATGACCACATTTATTCCTCAACCACGCTGCCGCCATGTTTTTCTCACTGTGTGTTTCCGAAACATTATTTACAAGTGCTTCCCCCCATTTGTGACCAAGACGTGATTAGCGGGGTGATTAATAGCTCCGCTGCCGAAGCCGCTGACTGAGAGTTCATTTCTCTAATTGCGGGGGAAATTCCTTTTCGCCACAGAAACAGAGCGAGCGGCAGAATGAGGTGGAGAAGTGTACAATTACCGCTGACTTGAACCGACCAAGCAGGTGCCATCACTTTCATTGTTCTGATTCCACGGGAGAAGTCGTTCAGGGCTGAGAAGGCCGTGATTGCCGCTCTGGAAGTCCAACGTTAAATGTTCCGTCAATAGTGACAGATCGCTCCACCGAGGCCATCACTGCTGTGGACACACAGATATTTGCTTTCCCAGATTAATCCTCATTTTGTTTCAACGCTCTGGACTTGGCATCTTTCTCCGTTGCATTTCTTCATCGAGAGGTCGATTCTAGAGAGTTTGAATAATGAGCTTTCACACCATTTAACCCTCCCGTAAAAACACTTTGATTCAAGTTGACCTCAAAGTTTTTATCGTGCATGCAGAGAGAAATTCAGAGCAGATTTGTGAAAAACCAGGAAAGTGTTTAATTAAAATAGTTCATGTATTTCTCAAGGTTACATCCTTTTTTTTTTTTTTTTTTCATGTTGAAGCCCTTATTGAGCGAGAAGTCTCCAGTGATGTAATTAAGCTTGAATAAAAACTAAAAAAATCTATATGCTATTTGTTTGTGTCACAGGCAGGTACAGGTCGAGGAGTCAGGTTTCCTCCCTGACATGCTGTAGATGAACATTTCTGCCCCCCCGCTGAGAAAAGAGGTCAAGCACCTCAAGAACCACGGGGTCAGTGTGCACTTAGGTCCGCATCAATAATGCATGGCGCTCCATTTGTTCATACATTAACCATGCACCCTGCTGTGGACGGACCCTGCAGAAGCCTCCTGAACGTCACATGTGCAGTATCCGTGCATTAGTGGTCTCACACTTTTGGACCGACTTGAAACTGTATTTTATCTACACGTGCTGTATATGACTGTACTTGTAAATATTATATTCTACGTCGTAAACTTTACGGATGAGTGTTTCTATTTTTCAGACATGACTGTATTCAAACTTGCTGACGGCAGGATTTCAGGGTGAAGAGATCCTGGAGATCCTGACTCTATCTCCTCGATACCTGGAAAGTGGAAGCTGCAGAGGTCAGACACGCTGTGAAGGCGAAATATGATCGAGGTGAAGTTGCTCTGCTTCTGAAACTGAGGAGAAATGTTTTAAAATCACATCATCTCAACATGAATTAATTCAACATTATAAGTAGGAAGCTGAAGCTGGAGGAGTTTGGGATCAGTGATGACGTTCAGCTCGATTGATGCATCGTCAGATTAGCTCATATCACTCAGGCTGGCATCTCAACACAACGAGGATTAGGAAGGAAAAAAATTAATTCACCATCGATGGGAAACAAAACTCTGAAGTTCATTATCGAGCCTCATTTAATTTCTACTGTGAATTTTGACCGATATTACAACTTTCATTGTTAAATGTTTTATAACCTTTCTTTTTCATTGTAAACTCTCCGAGCACAGCTTGAAAGGCTGTAGGCTGGAGAACAAAACAAAAAAACCTGTTGATGCCAATACTAGCTCGGTTGCCAAGCAACTGATCAGTCTCATGGTGGATTTAGAGTCGTTCAGATTCAGCCAGTTGTCTGTTCCAAAGTTTTTTTAGAAGATTTTTTAGAAACTCCACATTCAGGACTTTCTGATACAGCTTCAGGTGGGAAAAGAAAAACGGAGCTGCAGTCGAGGACATATCGGTTTGTGCTGATCCGCCCTCCCTCATGTGTTTACCATCCTGCCAGTCTCAAACTTGTGCTTTCATTGAATTTGAAATCTAAATCTGTTTGGGAGGTTCAGCATCACTTTGATTATTTGGTGCTTGAGAATTTTGCATAACATTTGCAAGCAGAAATAATCTGTGAGAAATCTAAATTTGGTTTCCTGATCTCTGTTTCCATGGTAAGAGTCCACATGTAGGAGCCATTTTATTGGAAGAGAAGATATTTGTTACCACATGATGAATCAGACCAATGACCAATATACAACTCTCTACCAACACGATGGAGATTAGTAGAATTATGGAGGAGACTAAACCCGAGCGAAAAGAAAGCGAATGTGACGTTACTCTGCTGAGCACGTTTGACCAGACGCTCCCTCAACAATTCGATCAAACCCTTCTGTCATTTTCGTTTCACTCGGAAATATTCCACATCGATCATTTGACGTTGAGCAGTCAACCACAATGAAAAGAGGAGTGTACAGACAATATTTATTTAGATTCAAATGTGAGAGAGTGCTTCATGACTCCTCCTGATGTCTCTGCTCTGGAGGAGCTTACCCCCCACTCCCACACCCACGGCTTGATAGAATGAAGCGGTAATTGGATTTCCATCCTCGCGCTGAAATCCGATAGACTGCTGCCAAACGTTAATCTCTTATCTACCTGTCCATCACCGCGGAACTGTACGACAAAGTGGAGATGAAGAACACCGACTAATCTGGGGGCTGTGGCTGCTTCTGGAGCTCAGCTGTTCTTTGTCACCTCCTGACTAAGCACAGTCGGTGTGATTTTATCCAGATGCTACCTGACAACTGACGCTGCTGGAGTGAGGCCCGAATAAAACCTCTTCCTCAAAACGCTGTCGTTCAGAGTCCAGAAGCTTTTTCCCCCCCGACGGACCGAGTTCTGTTTATCTTTGGTTCTGCAAATAACCCGTCACGTGTCACACAAGCTTTGTCATTTTCTAATTTTGCAAATTAGAAAATGCGCACGGCCATTACCTCAATCCTCTTGTCGGCTGATTAATGACTCGAGAGATTTGTGCTTTCGCTGCGGACGATTTGACATCTTCATCCGTGCCACGCAGGTTTATTACCAGATCTGCCGGAGCCCCATTATTCAGCATCACTCCCCAGAAGTGACACCAGGGGATCTGACGCTGAGGCATTACGGACCACAAGCATCCATTAGAGCCAAAAAGCAGGGAGAGCCAAACAATGCCCGTCAGCTCGAGCTTTTGGATTTAATTAAATGTGTCACAGGTTTCTGCCTATTTATGGCCTGGATGGAGTAATGGGGACAGGCTGCAACTCCTGTGAATACAGAAAACGCACCTCATTCGTCTCCCACTGTGAACAGAAAGCTACGTCTCGGAGCTGGAGCTCTTACAAGATAATAAAATAAATAAATAAATGGTTCAGGACAAGACAAGATATATTTTTGGCAGGATGAGTTTTGCCTCTCAGCTCCTAATAACAATACTGAATGGAAAAAGATATATTCAACTTAATTTGAGAATTTAAATGAGAAACATGGAGCTGATATTTGTGAGTAAAGACAACTGCAATGCGTCGTGCCAGGTCACATATTTATAATGTCTTAAAAAATGGTGCCAGGGAGCTGCTCAGACAATCATAAATCAGACGGAGACTTTATATGGATCCATATTAGATTTGTCTGGGCATTTGCAATGAAATGAACTTCATTGTCTGGCAGCAATAATCAATCTCTGCTGGAAAAAAAAAAAAGTTCATATTATGCGAGCAGATTTTTTGCTTCAGCTACAAAATTGATCCCAAAAAAAACAAAAAAAAACCAAACAAGGCACACAGGCTGAATGAAATCTTTCAGGACTGATAATCAATCATGTCTTGTCTTTTTTAGATTACACAACAGTCGAAGTGGTAAATTGTGTTTTTCTTCATCTATTTTGGTCTCAGCAAAGAGACAGAAGTAGATAAAAAGTTTCCCTCAGGGCCACGAAGTGTCAGAAACAATTACAGTCACATATAAATATCCATGAATAAATTAAAGAGACTGAATATAGACCAGGTTATAAC